CCAGACTCCCCACCTCTCTGGACCCCCTCCAGTTTGCGTATCGTCCCAACTGGTCTACCGATGATGCTGTATCCCTCACCCTTTACCATGCTCTGTCCCATCTGGATAAGAGAGACACTTATGTAAGAAAGCTGTTCATTGACTTCAGTTCAGCATTAAACACAGTCATCCCCCAGAAATTGACAGAAAAACTGCACTTGCTGAATCTCAACGCCTCCCTCTGCAACTGTTTTCTGGACTTTGACTGAGAAGGTTAAACCTCCCCACCCCATACTATCCACATTCTATAGAGGTACCATCAAGAGCAAACTGCATCTCGGACCGCAAGTCCCTGCAACGAATTGTCAGTACGGCAACAAAAATAATTGGAACTTCCCTTCTGTCTATTCAGGACATCTACCACAAACGCTGCACACATAAAGCCTCCAGTATTGTGGACGATCCCTCCCAGCAACCTCCAGCAACCTCTTTGCTCTCCTACCATTTAGTAGAAAAAATCGCAGTATACAGGCCAGCTCCACCAGACTCCATAACAGCTTTTTTCCACAGTGTACTTGTACTGTGTTTAGCAGTTCAGTAATGAGTCATCAGTGTGAACAGGATGGGCTGGGTACACAGCCCTGGTTCAGTATAGTGGTACTTACCATTTCAGTGAGAGGGGTGAGCCTGTTTAGTTGAGCAAAGACTTGCAATGTCAGGGACAAGGGGAGTGAACTTCAAACCCAGATCTTGGCTCACCATCTATTTTGTTGACGTACTTTGTCTTGATTGCAGTGAGACCAACAAAGGTAGGTAGTAGCAAAAGACATAAAAAAACACAGAGCCTTTTTAATGAGAGTGCTGGGTATTCACTCTGTCTTTGGATCCAGAAATCCAACACTGACTGTCGTTTAAATTCCAACATCAACGGTAAAGGGGTTCCTCATCCATTCAGGTACGGCCTCAACTGGAAAATACTCTGAGAACTGTTCTTCCAATAACAAGAGTTGCACTGTAATCACATCACGAACAGCAGCATCAAGTGCCACACCATATGTGTGCAGATAGTCATCCAAAGTTGGGAAAGCAGAGACATCACTTGCGTTGATTTTATAACAAAAAACTGCAGCTTTTTCTTCATAGCAGTGATTTTGTCAGACACATCAAAAATTGTTTAAGAGAGCTCTTGCAGTCCCATATTCAGCTCATTCAAATATGTGAATATATCAGCCAGGTAGCCTAATTTTACCAGCCACACTGGATCATCAAGTAGACTTGCCAAGGGAGATTGCTGGTCATGCAAAAACATCTGTAGCTCAGAGTGCAGTTCAAAGAGCCTCATGAGTACTTTCCCCCTTGATAACCATCTCACTTCAGTATGTAGCAAAAGCTGCACAGGTTCGCTGCTCATTTCATTACAAAGCACACTGAACAGATGTGAACTCATTGGTCGAGCCTTGATAGAATTCACAACCTTGACGGAAGAGTCTAACACATTTTCTAGCCATTTTCTTGGCTGTCAGGGCCCCGCTCTGGATGTTGCAGTGTGTCCAATTCATATCTGGAGCAACCGCTCTAATTCGCGCAGCTACACTGCTGTGTCTGCCTGTCATTGCTCTAGCACCGTCTATACAAACTCCAATGCATTTTTTCCAGTCAATGTCATTCTCTTCGATAAATTCAGTCAGAAGCTGGAATATGTGTTCTCCTGTAGTTCTTGTTGGTAGTGGCTTCACAGACTTATCCTTCAAGAGCATTGCTAAAGGGTTGGTAAAGGGCCGCCTCAGATGTGCTGGCTTCATGCTTTCATTGCCGAGTATTTCCCAGCACATGACACACTGTGGTCATGGCTCTTTCTCTGTCCCGGTGTAAGTAAATCCTAAAATTAGATAATTTGGATTGTACCGCCTTGTAGCCATTTTCCGACACTTGCTAACACTAGCAGGTTTAACAGCAGAGCTATTGTCGGTGGCCGATGTATAATCCTCCTCGTTCTCAACTGGTGTGCGTGATCTATCAGAGCTGGCATCTTTACTCTTGGCATCTATGCCTTTCAGTCACTACATAATCCTTGATTTTTGCGAGGTATTCATTTTCGATCAATTGTTCTGTTGGCAAATGTGGCGCTGTTGGATATTTATTTTCACCATTTCCCCTTAAAAGGCAGTCAGGAGTCTGTCTCAGAAGTTAAAAGAAGTTTTTATTTCATAAGCATGGGATTGAAACAGTGATGCTCGGTGTATTTTTCTCAAACTAACCTAGAACAGTCCTTAAATATCCAGTCCTTAGTTTTTTTTTTTTATATTTGCTGAAGATAACTTTTTTTAAATACAATTGGTCACTTACATTCGTAGCACGCATTCCATACAATGGTATAGAACACCTATGGGCATACTACGGCCCACCAGCCAGTTTTAACCAGCCCTTGAGAAAACAAATTAAATAAAGTTTTGCCATATTCCACTTTGGTACTGTTTTTTCTTACATTTAATTACTCGTGCCGTTAGATGGCGCATGAATGCTTTACCACAGTGATTCCAAACTGCGCATCGCACCACCTTGGGGAGGCACCATTGTCAGTCAGGGGCATCTCAGGTATCGCCAGTCAAAGAAGAATTTTATTATGAGCAAAGCCTGCTGTTCATGCAACACAGAATGAAACATTAAAGTAACATGACACTTGGCAAGAGAGTCAGCAGTCTGTAAGCAGCGTACCAGTTAACCGCGGCTTCGGTTTTTCATGTTTGAGTGGTAATTTTGTGAGCTTTTTGTCACACTATCGCAATTGAGAGGTTTTTAAATACGAGTAAAAAACATGACACAGAGCCTAGGTCTAAAGAGAAATGGAAACGCAAATACAGAAAGTATGATAACAGTTTCTTGAATTTCGGTTTAAGGTTCACAATTGTGGACACTAAAGACTGTCCTCAGTGTGTTGTCTGCCTTAAAGTGTTGGCTGCTGAGAGCATGCTCCCCAATATATTGAAACATCATTAGGAAACTGTTCACAGCTTACACAGATTAGTAAACCTCGTGAGTATATTTTCATTAAATGAAGTTAAATGAATGAACAGAAAGCTGCTTTTTCTAACCAAACTACTGTCCCCAGCAAAGTTCTTCTTTCATCATACAAAGTTGCGTACCGAGTAGCACAATGCAAAAAACCTCATACTATTGGAGGACCAAGGAATAAGCAACAGAGCTCTGTGAGTTCTGCTTCCCTTTACAATATCCTGCCTCAGTGAAGATGGGTTTTCAGCACTTGCGGTTATCAAATCCAAGTTCAGATCAAGAGTCAATGTTTAGAAGGAGATGCACATTACCATTTCAAAAATACCACCCAGTATTTTTGGTTAATTATGTTAACATAATTTAGGCAACAAGCCCACCTACCCATTAAGAGGCACAAACAAAAAGACATTGTTTTTAAAAAAAACATTGATGTTGAATTTTTACTTTTATTTACATTTTACAAAGCCGTTGACTATTTTTACATTTTTTCCAAATAGTTTTCACAATCAAATAATTTCAAGGAACCGTGATTCTCCGTTCCTTGCACCAGGAAAGCTCTTGAAGATTTGCCATATTACATGGCAGAATTAACAGTTCGTCCACCTCTAAGTTAGGTGCTCACCCACTGCCTGTAGTCTTTTAATCTTATCCTGAAGGTTAGTTAATCATGTGCAACATCTTATTCAGTTTTCTTTGAATAAGACTGAAACTATTTTAATTTTCAAAGTACAACAAAATGTATATTTTTAAAGTAGGATTTAATAAATGGACTGTTTTCCATCTTTGAGTTTTGAAAATCAAAAGTAATAATCAGAAAAGGTTCAACTAGTAAAGCAAGAAATCAAACAAATCTCACAGATTTATCACATTACACATTACATTCTTGGCACCACGGAAAAGCTACTACATTGTATAAAAAAGGCTAAAATGACCTTGGTATTTTTTCCCTAAAATAACAAAATCGGTCACCATATAAAGTTCAGCCAAGTACACATGAGAGGAAATTGCATTTAAAAGAAAAAAAGCTAATCTTTTATAGCACATTCATTTTGTACATTACTATAGTAACAGAAAAAATATCACTTCAGAGACGCATCATATTGTATGTCTGTTACTAGAACATTATTCTGCAATATTGTATTCACTACCACTTACTGTAATTTATCGTACATTGCTGTACCTGTCCTACAGTAATGTAAACTGTTGCACTGTTTGATCAAATGTATACTTGCTATATATTGTATTTCCATGTCCGTATAACGCATTGAATTTTATACAGTTCTCATAACATGTTGTGTTTACAGAACAGAAAGAAAATAAATAAATAATAGGAATACAGGAAAATAAAGTGAATTAAGCAAATATTCCCCTCGACTTTTTCACAACTTTTGCAAAGCTTCGCACACAGTCCTGAGAATAATTATAAACCTAAAAATAAATTCCTCAAATCTGTCACCCCTCTTATACACCTTACTACCTTCGGTTAAATTTTAAAACCTCCAGTCAGATATGTTTCAGTACTCATCTCTACCCATCACACGTTATTTAATAATGTATTGACTTTGCTTCATTTATTAATAAATCATTTGTAAAGCAACAACCTTTAGTTTTGTTAGCCCCTGTCATCTCACTATTTTTATAAAGAACATCCCCATGAACAAGAACCAAATAGTACTTATTTTCAAGGCTTTTGACCAAAGTTAAACTAATGTGGTAAATGTTCGTTATCATGGACTCTTTATGGTCTCTAATTTCCATAAAATCATTTCTTTGAACGCAAACAGTATGAAATGTACCAGCACAAATTCCAAAGATTGGGTTTATGGATACGAGGCTCTAATGCAAATTAAATCTATGTTTTTTTCTAGTTTAAAAAAAAGCAATGGGCTGATTTATTCATGCATTGCATGCAGCCATCAGCCTTATGCACAGAAGCCACCGTAGTAGACTAGTTTTTGAAACGAAAGAGCGACTCAGACACGTAACAAATTTAAAGCTCATTTACTCACCCGAGCCGAAGATCTCTGCCCACGGCTTTGAGGAAGATGTACCACCAGCAAGAGAACAAAATATAAAAAAATGTAATATATGAAATGTCTGGAAAACATTGCTTGCATATTGTTTGTAGAAACTAACTTCATATATAAGCTTCTCTTAAATTTTGCGCTAATAAAAACGACCCCGTTAAAGTTTGATTTAAAGTTATAATGTTACCATCAGAATCCTCAGATGTTTGTTTTAATTTATATATGTTTGTTGTATACACTGTCACTTAGGAGCGGGTTTTTTGTAATTCATGGTCTGAGCGATTAATTCTATCCCAGAGCCGTGAAGCAACAACCCTCGCAGAAGCTACAGGTTGTGGGTGAAATTCCATTCGGATCCATTTAAGACCTATGGGAGGTGGGCGAAGCCGAGTCACTGACGTGACTTTAGACCAATGGCGTTTCAGGGTCCTCTAACCGTTCCTTTTCGTTCAACGGCGAGTGAGAAGAGAGGGCATTGTTGGCGAACCGGATTGTATTTTAAATTCACGCCAGCTTTATTTGTTTCAATATTGCAAAGTTTAACAAAATTAAACTTGATCTTCCGTTCAGTTCCTCGAGCATTTTACTTCTTTCTAGCATTATTTGTAATGTTCGACTGGTGTGTTTCCGTTGACTGTTTTTCTTGCGTAAAAAAAGATGAAGATGATTTAATGCTTCCAAGTTTTAGCGCTGATTGGAATAGTATAGGTAGAAACTGGTATTTTTTCTAATTTCCTGACCACTAAGGGAAGGGGTTCAAAGCACAGCAACTAAGGTTAGAGGCTTGGTAACTGCACCAAAGGTAAAAATAATGTGAGTTACTCTACAGCACCACCATCAAGACCTCTCACCACAGTTACAATTGTAAACAAACACCCAATATCAGGAGTTCTCATGTGCTCTGCTGGAGCTCAGCCTGTGTATTTGCAGGCTGGGGGTAGGGTGGGTGAAAGGAGCTGAACAGCAGGAGTGGAAAAAGGCTGTAGTCCACCACAACCATCTGGCATTAAAACATATTTTACCCTGTCTGCTGGCTTTGCACTTGCTTTGCAGTTTTCACGGTGGTTAAAAATTGAAAGGGTAAGCAGAACATTTTAAACATTGAAGATTGCAGCAATGAAGAGACCAATCTGGAGATTGTGACCAATGAACATATACAATGTATCTTACACTGCTTCAATTCAATATGTTTAGTCACACAGTTATTTAAGGACCTTTTCTTTACTGTCCATAAAATACTAGACCAAGTTGTAGGATTTACAAAGGTGTCTTACACAATCCTAATGTCAGCGTGCCTAGGCTTGAGATTTGTACAGCATAATTTTGTAGGATTGACTGTTTAGCATTCTCAGTTAGGATCTACAAAAAAGGTCTTAGCCTGGGGTGTGTTTCTGAATTTACATCTATCTCAAATTCACTATTCTATGATAGATTTCTGAATCTGTATAGTTTGTAAATACTATAGAATTTTGGAGTTCATCAATAAAATAATTTTCACATATGTGCTGTGAAAACCTCCTTGAATGTTAAACATTTGTTGTTTTAGAGACATTTGGCAGACAAAACTGATGAGCAGAAAGGGTGGGCTAGTATACACAGTATACTTTATGGACTACTTTCAAAGACTGTGCTAAATAACAGTTCCAGATTACATGAAGTTAACTACATTCTAAGTATTAGGTCCAGTATTTATGGTTATTGAAGTGTGTGAATTCACTGGGTTATAAATTAATAAGCACAAGATAGTTATGTATTAATTTTACTCTTTTTTGTCAATGTTGGTTTGAGAATTTACATGAAACAGTTACCTTAAATGTAAATTAGAGGCAGCTGGAAGCTGTCTGTTCTGGTAAATATTAACAATGCACAAAGAAAGGACAGTCTGGCAAAATTAAGATATTAACATGCAGAGGAAAACCACACTCATATTAGATTTATGCAAATATATCAGTAGTTCTACATTTTCTGACAAATTAATTAATCACTTTGATTTAAAGTAAAAACACAATTGGCTTATGTGCCGGTATAAGCCATCCATAATTTAACTAATGAGCACTATTGTAATTGAACACATTTCTCAAACATTAAGAAAATAATATGATTTTTATAGCCTTTTGGACAAATTTGTTCTTTCACATGAAGATAACTTAAAATACAATTGTATCTGTCTTTTTCATACAGTAGCTATGAAGTTTCCTACTAGATCTGCACATTTAATCTTTTGTTTTTAAAAAAATATGGAACAACTTGGGCCTTGGAGCAAAGGTCTACTGAAAATCACTTTGAAGTAAGCAACTTAATCTTAAATGTAAAAGATGTAGAGAAAAAAAACATTTAGAAATAAATTTATTATTTTTCTCTTCTTCAGAGCAAAACCACAACATGTAATACATTAAGCAAGGCTGGACCTGGTCAGCACCAGGATAGGACACCTCCAGGGAAATCTGGTGGACCAGTAGGTGGTGCCCGTCTCACGGGGCTTGCATTTTCAACCCATTTCCCTTTATTGTAAATGGGGACAATGTGCTGTGGGAGGTGCCACCCTTCAGATGAGTAGTTAAAGTGAAGTCCTGACTACTTGATTATTAACGATTCATTGTTACTGTAAGGGTGTCCTGAGGCTCTGAGTTTCCTAAACCTACCCTTTAATTTCACCAGTGAAGTACTGTACATTCTCACTTCTCTGCCTGATCTGGCGTAAACTGGGGCTGCTGGTACATAATTGCTATAACTCAGGTGAGTGCTGCACTGCTGTAGTACAGGAAGTGAATCTCCTCATGTATGTGTATTTTGGGATCGTTTGTAATTAAAAAAACATATTAGTATTTATTTACTTAAGATGTTAGTGCCCAGTTATTATGATATGTTGCTGCAACAAATATGAATGATACTTTTGTACTTTCCCATTGTTCCTAAATCAAGTATTTAGTTTTGTAAGTTCAATGGTATTTAAATGTATCACTGTTCTCACGTGGTTTAACAGTTGTTATCAAGTATGTTTCAAATGGGAGTTCTTGTTGTTTTTCTAAATACATGACGCTGCAAGTATTCTACAATATTTCATGCAACTATAGAAAAATATTCACATGAAGACACAATTGCATTTTTTTCTGAAAAAAGTAATTTCTTAAAACTACCTTTATGTTTTGAAGTAATGATAACTTTCCTTGTGCTTTTAATAAAAAAAAGAGAAAAAACGTTTTAAAAACTTAAAAGTGCAGAGAAAAATAAGGTTTTAAAAAAAACAAGGGTTTATAACTTAGGAAAATTAATCAAGTTTGAGTTCCATAACTGTTCTGAGATAAATGGTAAGACTTTAACAATAACATAACATCTGCTCACTTTTGCTGTTGCAATAAAAAAATAAATGATTGGATAATATTTTTTAAGAATTTGAACATCTTTGTTCTTACAGATGTGTCCTTAAAATCAAAATAGTTTCCATTATTCTTCATCTGAAATGTCTGGTACAGAAAAACTTATTGAATCAGTCTGCTTGTACTTCTACTGTATAACGCCATACAGGCATGTGCACCTAAACAAAGAAGGAGCAGTTCAAAGCCACCAAAATCTTCATGGTGACATTTTTAAAGGTGGCCCAATGATTCCCCTCGACACACGCAGACCGCCCACCGCTTAACCCCCTTTACCTCCCCCATTGGAATGCCTCTGATCTTCCACTTTAATGTTTTTCTGACAAAAAGAGTGAAAAAATATGCAACCAATTAATGTGATTACGTTGTTATGTATGGTGGACAGGAAACCCCAAAATCAGCCCTGAGAAGCTCTCACAGATGTGGAAACCACCGCCTGTGACACCGCTACGCACAGCTTAGACTATGCAGGTGTGTGTCTCCAATTCAAGAGGGCCCACTTCACACAGAGTACTCAAAGCTGCAGCTTGAAAATCTCATCTGGCACTGAAAAGAAGAGGCCATTCCCTCTTTATCTGTTTGTGACCTTACTTGGAAAAAAGAAAGAAACAAAGTACCACCCAACTACCTCCAGCCCCCTTTTTTTCTGTGTAGATATTATTTAATTGTCAGCTATGGCAGTTTCGTTACGCTTGAATGCCCCAGTGAAGGGGATTTTAATTAGAGCTATTGAGTGTTTTGAATTGGCACAATTAGGGTCAGCATTAATTATTTCTGTATGTGCTGGTTTCAACAGTGGAGCCTTTTTATAAGTGAGCAGCTGATGGGGGTCAGAGAGGATTCAGAAAAAGGGAGGAGAGGAATAGAAGAGTATGCAGGGAGAGAGAAGAGAGGAATGAGGAAACTAAGAACTTAAGAAAAAAAAGTACTTATTGAGAAAATTATAGTGACTAATGATAATCAGTATTTTCTTTTATGGTGTATTTGAAAGAAAATGTTTTCCCCTGTTCCTAATAGTTGCCTTTTAACCATGTTAATAATAATGGATTTCCCACTTTAAGTTTAACACGATCTGCACCATACCCTCTTCTGTCTTGATCCTAATGACAAATATTTGCAGAACGGACAATGGGCAGAAAGGGTCGCAATAGTTTTCTTTTGTAAAGTGCTTTCAATTAGAAGTCTGCAAATTCACATTCATATAGGACATTGTGTTACAAGTTATAATTTCCACAACATAGAACATGTGAATGAGGTTCCAGTATTGCAGCATAACAGTAAAGCTCTTTCCACTGTTTTCCTAGGTTATATTTTTATTGTTGTTGATGTCATTCTGTTAAGCACTTTGAGAAGCCACCATTAAAGGTGCAATATAATAAAATGTATCACACATATTACTATAAATATTATATATATATAGATTACATCTATATATATATAGATTATATATATAGATTACTTATTCTCAACCACTTCATAATTATGGGCTACAGAAATGTGCTTGAGATGCCCGTGGTGGCCATCCCAATGGCATTACACTTTTCTGGGACTGAATTGTCTGCTGCTACTAATACCTTCTACTTTCTGGTTAAGTTATAAGTTTTAACAGTGGTTATGGACTGAAAGAACCCAATTAAGATTTGAGTTTACCTCCAGCCCCTAAAGACATTCCATTTTATTTAATATTGAGAACTTTGCCTTAAATGTTTTTAATGATACACAAGACAAATGGCATTTCTGCAAACAGTGGAAATGATTCTTGAGTTCAAACAGATGGACCCATGTTTCATTATTAGTGATAAAAATTAAATAAATTATTAAAATTATTGCAAAAAACACCATGTTATTGCATTGTTAAACAGTTTGTGACCAACCATTTACCTTTTGCAAGGTTCAGTATGAATTAATTGTGTTGTACTACATAAGCATTTGCAGTGTAAATTTTATGTTC